CCTTCTCAGGTGTCTCAGGCACCATGTCATTCGACCCTCCTGGAGGCTCTGGTGTGGCTTGCTTCTCCAGAAGGTCCTTCAGCTCCGCTCTGACCTGATCCAAGTATTCCTGACGCCGCGAGACTGCAACATCAAAGGAAAGATGGGGGAAATGTGAAGTATTCTATCAAATCATGCAGCCGGTCACCAATAATAACCCTACCTGCATGATACTTGTTGATTTTCTGCCAGCAACGGTCTGCATGATAGCAATCGTTCAACAATTACAACAATCAACAACACTAACAGTCCTGAGTCTCCGCCACACGAGCCTGCAGATTTTGGATGCGCTTCCTCTCCCAAGCTTGGCGGTTCTAGCTTCTCCGTCTCAAGATCAGCAAGCGGCACAAAGCCCTGAGCATACGCCAAGCTCACAGCAATCTTGGTCACCTGCCCTTCTAGGTGAAGGTTGGCCAACCAGAAATCCTCAACTAGAAAAAGCTGGCAAAACAAACATCAGAACAGGCGCCTCTTAAAAGGCACGTGTGGCCATTGAAACATTTACAACGGCATCAGAGGTGGCCATATCTTGAGGAATGTTTTGTATGAGACATCTGAAAGCGCTTGACATGACTCACTTCACTGAATCACATTTGCCGGGCATCCGTCACTGGGCTGTCAGCATGGGTGATATGTGTCAGATGACTCAGCACCAGATCGTCCGTCAAGGCCAGTTTCTTCAGCTCCATCCTCGGAATGCCCAACTGGCAAGAATGAGACACCGCACTAAAGTATCCCAATCAGCGGTGGAGAACAGAAAGCCAATGTGTTGAGTTAGTTGACACTGGCATGTAGATGTAGATGTCTGAAACAATTATGTGCCAATTTCAAAGCAGCTGCCAATGAATTCGCAATGTTTGCCCGAGGTGATGAATATATCCTTGCTACAGCCAAGGGAAACTGCAGACAAGGCTCTCTTTTTTCTGACCCTGCCCCGCGATCCATGCCAGCATGCCGCAAGCATACATGTCTGCCAAGAGGACATCTTCCTGACACGGCCGTTTCAAGCAACTGATGAGGCAATGGCTTGCTGACAATGGACCCATTCAAGTCTTGTCTTGACCGTGCGTGTGAATGTGAAATGCGGCTCAAGCCAAGGGCCTCATCTTTGAGGTTCTGCTTCTTCAGCGTGTCCTTTCCAAGAATGCTCTTAATCCCCATGGCACCTGTGGCAGTAACAAAAATCATTTGGGCAAATCATTGCAATTCAAGTTGTCAAGGCTGCCAAAGTGAAGCTACATTTTCATTTGATCAATGAACGGCGCCTTGACCCTGAGCACCCCAGAACATATGACGGAATCCATCATACGACTCACCCTCTCCAGAGTCCACAGTGACTTGAAAAATCACGTTGGAGATTTCGCTGGCATACACTTGCGAACTCCACTTTCGCAGTGTGAAGCCTTACATGATGCGTCTCACTCTTGAAACTGTCCCATTGGTTTGAAACAGGCTGGCGGTAATAGATACTGTCTGAAGACAAGCCCACACCACTGACATGTATGGACAAAAGCAACTGTCTACCTGCCAGCGGAACTCTGTGAGCTGAGTTACTGTTGCTCTGAAGATTGATTTGACCTTTGCGCAGACCGTCCTGGAAGTCGGCCACCGTGACCTTGATCGTGGTGAAGCTTCGTTTCGCCAGAATCATGGAGCCTGAGGCAGTTTTACTATGCTGGTGCAAAATCGTGGCGTGCGTCAACAATACAAAAGGTGAAAGTACATGCCAACAGCGGCGGCCTGCTGAGATTCGTTCACGACGAAAAAAGGACACCACGTGGCCAGCCGACACAGATAGCCCCAGCCTTGGAGAGGTTTGGCTTGATGCGCAATGTCTGGAGCGTCCGTGAAAAGCAAAATACATAATTATTGAAAGAGCCTCCCTGCACACACCGCAGGTTGAGCTAAGTTTCTGCTCTGCTTGATGCCTCGTGAACTCATAAGCTGCCGCCTCTTCGTTGGGAGGACACGCTGGTCACAAATGAACTGGAAGGGGTCAAAATCAACGCTGCTCACAGCGAAGTATCCAACGCGGGACATGGCTCAAAAGGTGCAAAAGATCAAAGATTCAATGTGATGAGCTGATGAGCGGCAGACTGCATAAAGGATCTCGAAATGCCAACGGTCATTCAAATCCATTTGTGTTATATCGCATCTCAACGCATTTCTCCATGAACCCAGAACACGTCACTCCGCCTAACTTGTTCCCGACTAAAATTGCAGCGTTCCTACCTTGTTCCCGCCTAACTTGTTCCTTCCCTTTCGCCTTGACTCCCTCCGCGTGACACGGGCTCGATGCAAGGCGTTGAGCACCTGGGCCCGGATAGTAAGCTGTCATCCCTTCGTAGTCGTAAACCCTCTTCGTTTCAAATGGTCTGACATGACTTTTTAGAAGCCAGCACAGATCCTTCTCTTTCATGCACCCATAGCACCGAAAACCTTCAATACTCATACATATTATACAGCGTCAAGAATTGGTCGACGAAGCAACTTCTGAGGAGAGGAGTATCCTACACACTTTCAAACTTCAGGATGCATGAGCTCTGCAGGATGCACTTTCAAACCAGAACATCGGCCGTCTCCCACTTGGCTTCCCAGCCGGCTGAAAGCTTGCGATTGAGACCAACCTCAAATGCACGCATGTAGTGCGCGCATGCATTTGGCCTACTGTTGAGGGTAGGAGTGTTCCAAAGAATTTCAATCATTAAGCTCCATCGTAGTTTGCCTCACGAACGTGGACCACAAGAAGCCTCAAGCCAAACAGCATTCCAGCACTGCTTTCAAGCAGTCACACAGCACTGTTGCCCAATTCACGCCGCCAAGCTTCGCGAGGGTTGGATGCGCATGGCAATCATCTAAGAACACAACATGTTTGCCCGGGACATCTGGCCTCAATGCAAGTCATTGTCATTCTCATGACATCTTGTTTCAGTGTCAGTTGGAGTAACCACAACCCAGTAGCAAAGAGGAAGTTCTTGGTAACGCAAAGCTTTGGCCCACCAGCAAGTTCAGGGTTTCCAACCTTGATGGTATACATACACACATCTCAACAATGGAACTGCACAATGCAACTGCCCAATGACAATGACAATGAAATCAAAGGAACAGTTCAATTCCCATGACATCATCTTTGAAGTGTTCTAGGTTGAAGCTCATCATCTCAATCAACAAGTTGTACCTCGCCCTTGTCCGTGCAGAGTACAGGCCTGAGTGCGGAAGTCAATGTCTATAGAGGATGTCAGTCGACAATGACACAAATGTTTCACTTCTGAATGGGTCCATATCAGTGTCCAGCTCATGACGCCATTGTCAGGACCATGTTTAGCCATGGCATGTTTTGACCACTCAAGGTTTGAATCAAAAGACTTGCGGACAATGACAATGACAATGATAACTATGATTCAACTATGACAATGACAAACAGCCCTGCTGGACACTGAGAAGGCAGCTGATGCACTGTAGCTCTACACCTGGCGCACAGGAGCTTCATGGGTAAACATGACACCTTGGAAACAAACAGGGTTCAGCACAGAAAGCACACTGTGCTTTCAACTCTCGCTGGCATGAAAATGACGCATAGTTATTATTCATAAGGACTTGAACAATGCAATCCTCACCTGATCTTGCCTGGATGCTGATGGGTGTCCTGCCGCAAAAAAAATATATATATATATCATTGACAATGACAATGATTTGGTTTTGATTTGGGATTGATCAGTGTCACTTGACATTGATCAAACCAAACCGAACTTGCACATCATCACGACTAAAAAATTAGCAAGACAATGACAATCATGAACGCACTTGTTTTTGACCAAGAGGAGCATGAGCTTCACTTGTTATCACCTGCTGGCTTTTTTTGCAGGCTTCACCACATCTGCCTTGCCCGCCGGCCTCTTCTTCACATTGCGCTCATCTTCACTCCGCAACTCGCCCATGTCATCTGATGGGGATTGTGAGGTCTGTGATGCTGCCTGATGATCACCCACACCATCTTCCTGCTTGATCACCTGGATGCGAATCTTGTGTGTCAAGGCAACATAGGTCACCTGATGAGTCGGGACTTGAGTGAATGACACTGAAATGACGATGTCCTGAATGACAATGACACCTGAATTGCTAACAAGGCCACTGTCAAGTCTGCCACGGTCCCCGCCAAATTCCAGGAATCCATTGACAGTGACAGTGAGTTACAATGGTTTGAATGGCTTGGGCACTGACTGCGGCTGCAGACTGACAAGTGACAAGTCAAAGTTTCCACGTCAAGCTCAACCCCTGCCCAGTGCCAATCAGTCAGTCCTCCAGCCATCAAATCATCCTGGGCAGGCAGTGTGAACATGTTGATGGAATTGTGGGACTCCTAACCACTCCAAAGTTCTAAGTTTCCAGCAGCAGGAAACAAAGGAAGAACAGTTTTGAACCCAAAGGTGGCAACGACAGTGAAACTGACAGCTGACAATGATGTGAGTCTAAGACAATGATGTAATTAAACCACTGGAGCTACCAAACTTTTCACTTTAAGTTTTAACAATCAATCATTTTCACTTAAAAAACATCTAGTTTCACTTTCCGAACTTTTCCATCATTGACATCATCACAAACAACTATATACACAAAAGCAACTTTTGCAACTTGCAAACAGCCACCCAGGTTATATATATATATATGTTATGATAGTGGCTGGTGGCGCAGTTTTCACCCGTGCGAGACGTGTTCCTTTTGATTCATTTGATTGGTTGCCGCAACCATATGAAACCTGAACTGATGGGATTATGTCAAGTGCAAATCCCAAGTTTGCCAAACAACTATAAATAGCAAACAATCACTTGGGACCTGCGCTTCGCTTGCAAGACGGTGATGAACACAAAAACAATGAAATATATCACAAAGCCACAAACCATAAGGCGTCCCAGGGTCCCCCCCATTCGTTTGTCACACCCAGTTTTGACCATCACAGGCTCGGTATACCAGCCCACCGCACAGTAGTCCGTGGCAGTACAGTTGGGCCGGTACTTGGCGCAGGGATCTTTCGCAGCGCTGGCGTTACACATGACGGCGTCCATGGAAAAGCTCAGGCGGCCACGGGTGTTGGAGACCAATGCCTTAGGCGAAGGATCACGAACAGTATGCGACGTGAACTGCTCGGTGGAGGCCATCGCAAGTCGGAGGCCATCGCAACTAGCTTAGTGGTAAGAAGCTATAGTGATAGATCATGCGAAGCAGTCGAACGAATCGTCTGCCCGAAGTGCTCATCGTGTTTCCCGTGTTCCCGTCGCCCGGTTGATCGTCGGTTTCCCTGTCCAGCTGTTCGAGCGCCGTCCGCGCCCCCGTCGTTTCCACGTCTTTGGTGCCCAATCCACGGGTGCAGTGGCATTGGATGTCTTCTGATCAATCCAGGCTTTGTTGACTTTCGGACTTCCCACCAGGCCAAACTGGCTCACAAAGCGCTGGGTCTTGTTGGTATAGCCTCAGCCCAAGGCGCCAGGCGGAAAACCGAATCGTGAGGGCCACATTGTTCCTCCCGCCCTTCTGAAATGCTGTTTCAGCTGGAGGCTAAGGTTTCAATCACGTGATGTGGTCTTGACTGGACCAAATTCAGTGGAACTCCTCTTTGTCTAGCCCTCTGGCAAGCAAACTCACATTTAATTATTGGCAGTTCAAACATTACAACACATTGATTAACATTAGCATTGCCCCTAAGGTCTCACTTGCAGCCCGCACTTGATGTCCTAAAAACTGAACAGAGTGTGATCAATGACAATAAATGATCAATGTCATTCGAGACAAACAGGTCCTCATCTGCCGAAACAATGATACCAAATCGTTCCACTTTTGAGGAGTACGCGTGTAACGTCGAGACTGGTCTGGTCACAACGATTCCATCTTCGCCCGAAACAACAAACAACACAGTTTTGTCCTGAGGACCCGGAGGGTTCCAGTGCAAGGGATTCCAGTGATCTCATCTGCCCAGCAGCAAGGCCGATAGATGGGCACATCCTGTAGGATGCACATTCCGAAGTGGGCGACGGCTTGCAGACTGGAGAGACTGGAAACTAACATAGACCCTCGGAGAGACTGGAAGGCTCTCGCCAGATGTCATTGTAATGGGGATCAAAGGGTGGTGCTGCTCTGACAACTCAAGAAGGCATCAGGTCTGGCCAAGACCAATGGTTCTGGGCTTGGTTGCTGGGTGGGGGGGAAACCAGCTGTCGCCTGTCGCGCTCGGGACTCCCATCGGTTGCATGTCATAGATGGCGGTCGCTGTGGTCAATCAACTTCCAGAAGCATGTTCCATGCCTATGGTTGGTTCGGGGAGGGGTGCGCTCAATCCACGTTTTCTGAGATGGAGATTTCCAGCATGACTTCACTGGTGGCTGCTCAGGTGTCCCATGAATTTCTACCTTTTTGGGGGGCTCCCCGGATTTGGACCTTTGTTGCACAAGTCGTGTCACTGACTCTTTGATGTATGTTGTGGAAGTACTTGGCAGGTTGGCTAATTACTCAGTTTCGCACATAGCAGGATGCTGTTTTGTGTTGGCTGGGGTTCCACTGCAAGTGTCAGAGAGTTGTTTGGTAGTACTAGTATAGTTTTCAATCTGCGAGATGAACCATGTCCTTTGCATGTCTTTGTGTCTCCCAGATCTACGAAGATCACTTTGCAGCAAGGAGCTGATGAAAAGAGCACCAGCAATTTACTTGACTGTTTGTGTGACTCTTCCTGTTTAGAGTTCTGCTGGTTCGGAGATGCTTCGGTGATTGTAGATGAGGTCGCGAAGTTACAGGGATATAGATATCCTGGATATGAAAAAGAAAGAACCTTTTTGGCAACTCTGAACTAGTAACAAGTGCCACGCTAGTAGTAACAAGTGCATCGCTTAGTAGTAACAGGTGCCTTACTATATAGTAGTAACAAGAAGCGACTAGGAACAAGTGCCTCGCTTCTAGTAACAAGTGCCTTACTAGTAGTAACAAGAAGCTATTATACATTTAATTCTAATAGCTTTTTGTTACTACTAGTAAGGCACTTGTTACTACTAGCGTGGCACTTGTTACTAGTAAGATTGTTTTCCCCCACATCCTCGGACCCTCTCCTTCCACCAGTTCAGCTTGGAAAGCTGCCAAAAGCGTTGCGCAAAGACCGGCGCCCAACTGCTCGTCACTTTCAGCACGAAGCGGCGGTCGTCCTGGTTGCAAAGCCCTGTGAGAGAAAGTCTTTCTGTATCACTAGATCTACGAAGCTCTTAGGTCTTAGACTCAACTGCGCCTTACTTCAAGAAAAATCACAGTCTTTTGATGTGCACTCACGCTCAATGGCCGTTTCATTGGGCAATCCCAAAAATGGCTGAACAAACACTTTCGCTACTAGGAGCAAGGACGCTACTAGGGGCTCCTGGCCTTACTACTAGGAGCAAGGACGCTGCTAGGGCCTAGGGGCTCCTGGCATCGCTACTAGGAACAAGAAGTTATTAGCTCCACAGCTCCACAGTGGTGTCCCCTCTCCTTGAGTCGAAAGCGAACCCGGAACACCGGTGGTGGAGTTGTGTCCCAGCAGCGGAGCGCGTCGCCTGCATCGCTTCCGGCTTCGCACCATCCACACGGATCGACTGGGTCTTTCTTGACAATCCCCATGTGGCCCGGCTACTAGGAGCAAGGACGCTACGAACGGGGCTCCTGGCCTTACTACTAGGAACAAGAAGCTACTAGTACTACTGTACCAGTAGTAGCAAGAAGCTAGTCGGGTGGAGGCCATCGCTACTAGTAACAAGTGCAACAAGGGCCTTGTTCTGTTTGTTGGTGCCACATATATCTTCTATGTTGTTTTGTGGCTCTGGATGGTACTCCTTTGGCTGTGGGGTTCCAATCTATGAGTCCAAGCAAAGAGTTGTGGGTCTAGAACTCACTTCTTGGATGGGTTGGATACGGATTGGATAGAAGTGTATTTGAGATAAACCATGCGTAGGATGTCTTCTCCGGGAGCCTGCCTGAAAAATAGAAAACAATAGAAACCATGTTTCCCTGTTAAATCTCCCCAACAGATCCAAAGGGGGTCTTTGTGGCAAACGAAGCAACCCAAAGCAATACCAATGGGGCCATGAGTCCTGGAGAAAAGTTGCTTCGACTTGTTGGCCTGCCTGGATGTTCAGGATTTTGACTTCTACTTCAATTAACGTGTGCAAAAAGGGTTCTTACATATTAACAATCACGCCTAACGTACACTCAAGCTAGATCACAGCTAGCACCAATGAGTTACTGGGATGACGGCTTTGGATCAGTAAGAGCCCCCCCACCGTTGCTCCCTGATTGCCAATCTGATCATCCCTTGATGATCCGATGATCCCAATGAAAGCTACACAGGTGCCACAATTGTAGTGAACACTCTTTGAGAAAGTGCTCAGCTGCAAGCACAACCTCGACCAAAGCAGTCCCTCTCCTGCTTCCACCATCCGCCAAGACTACGCGAGCTTGGCACCTTCCGCCACAAAGGCGCAGCTCCAGAGGTGCTCATCATGGCCATCCGGTCGGACGACCAGCAGCGCTCCGTCCTCGACGTCCACCGCCGCGCCGAGCGCGTTGGCAGCGGCCGTGTGGGTCGTCCGCTGCGTCCAGCAGAGCCAAAGCAGCGAGAGAAGTCGCATGGTGTGCAGGGCTGAGCGGCCGGGTAAAGAAGACAAGAAAAGGGTCGAGAACAAAGTGCTATACCAAAGTGCTACTGTGTTTGATTGAGAGATACCAAGCATCATTAAGCATCTGATGTTGTAGAATCAACTATGATGATGATTCTTGATGGAAAGTAAGCCCTGTGTCTGCTGGTTCCTGTTCACAGTCACAGAAACATCAGAAAGCGTCGACATGTTCTTTGCATGTTCTTTGCCTGAGCTGGGCATTTGTTTTTTGATTGAATGTCCATGCTGTCAGCAACTACAGCCAAAACGCTTTCAGAATTCTCGGGTTCGCTCTATGTAGGGTGTTGCAGACCTGGTGGACTGATTCCAGTGTTTCTTTGGCAAATAATAAGGCATCCAAAGAACAAACATGTTTGCATGTTTAAACATGTGTACAGTAGGAGCAAACTGATGGAGGGTGCAGCTGAATCTCTCACATGATCCACTGTGATCTACCTCACCAGTCAATCGTCCAAACAAATACAAGAGAGAATCAAGCCTCCTCGTCTTCCCCATGGCGCCAGATCAAACATAAGGTTTAACCATTCAACCCAAAGAGGATCACATACTGAAATAATGACCTGTTTTGTCATAGTCTGTTTATGATGCTCACTGACCTTGAACCCCTTGTCGATGAGGCCTATTTTTGACACATGCCACATCTGCGAGGTTCTTTAGTGCGTACCTCCAGTCGCTTCTGGCTAAGCTTCATTGGCAAACTCCTGTCTCTCTTGCATCCGAACGGGTACCATACATCAAAGAAGTGCAGCAAGTAGGCAGTCTCGCTCAATGAGACACTGCCAGCTCCTCGTGTCTTCGTGCATCCAAAACACGTTCTTCTTCCCAAGCACGTGCAAGCTTTGGCATAAAAGTGCTCCTCAAGTGGACGGACACACACCGAGCGGAAGCTTCCTCACAAACCAAACAAATCCAGTTGTTTCTTTGTTTCTGTTTTTTTCTCAGGGATGCCATACATCGACTATCAGCAAATATCTTATAGTGGAAACACGACCTCAATCTCTTTCTCATTTGGACCTGCCGTGAGGCCTAGACATGATGTTTCACACCCAATGAGGGGAAACCATAGGAGCCCAGGCGGTCGCTCCACTCGTGTGTTCACGTCTTCGGTCAAACATGGTCAAATGCATTCTTCGGACGCAGGTCGTTCTCCAAGGCTCATGGTATTATCTTGCCACGGTCTTCGCGACAAAGTGACACAACAGACCTGACAGGTTAAAGATCGAGGTGATCAATTGAAACATATTGATACATCTAAAAGGCCAACACCGTTTATCTACAGGAAGACCTTCACTCGATCCCATTGCAGAAACCGAACAGCAAGGATTTGCCGGTATGCGACCGGAACGACTTTCACCTCAAGGCGATACAGTTTGCCTAAAGAGCCTATAGCTATTGAACCACTCATTTGTACATGAGGCGAAAGCCAAAAAGACAATGAAGATCAATCAACGGAACATATTGAAACCATGTTTCAGTTTAAACAGGTGTTGAATGTTTTGGGTATTGTTTTAAAATAACTTTTTAGCTGTTTCTTATATGAGCAAACTTCAGGTCCGAGACCTTGAACAAGTAATTGCTGGTTTCGTGGCCGGGCTTGTCAGGTGGTGCCCAAATGTGAACCAAAGGCTTCAAAGCGCCCCGAACGAAGAAAAGCCACCGCGTTCCGCCTCGAATGCCTCCGGATGCTGAACGCCCCCCGTGCCTGTCCGAGCGCGGAGGCGGCTTTGATGAACGACCGGGCGACCTGGTCCAGCTCCGCCAGCTCGGACATTTCCTGCGAAGGAACAGTTCCCCAAACTGCGAAACATGACGAACCAGGACCTTCCCACCTTTTAGACACAGTGACCTCATTCTGGGATCTCAAAGGGTCACTGGAAAGGTCCTGGAAAGTAGCTCTATACCTTTCGCAAAATACAAGGCTTGGTGCCCTGCGCGTTGGTCACAAGCGACTTTTGGTCGATCGTTCGATCAGGTGCCTGGAGCAAGCAAATGGTTGGCTCCAGGTGGTTTTAGAGATGCCCCCCCAATCACATTGCACTCCGGCTCACTAAGATGGAAAGAAACCTGTTTGTAGACCACTTCAATGTTAGTGAGTTGGAGGGTACCCATCACAGGTCGTCTCATGGTCTCTCCTCTGGGCTCAGCTCAGGCATCTTCTTGTCCTGACGTGCTGCAGCACCCCGGCGAAAGGAAAGAACTTGTGTCATCGACCAAACACCTTTTCAGTCCACGTATCTTCTTCAAAGGAGTTGTTTGTTTCGAGGGTCAACGTAGCAGGGCTCGAGAGTTACCAGCTAATAGAATGCTCACAGGGGATGATGTCCAAAGAAATAGCATCCGTAGTGATATTATGAACAAACACATATGTGGCCAGGCTTCTCAAGGGGTTATACACCTAGAGTCATCCTAAGTAGAGGACACATATAGGATCATCGCACAACACAACTCAATTTATCGGAAAATTGTTTACAGTTGATCACTTCTCGCGAATCTATATAGAAAACTGTGATGCTGAAGATTGGCCCAATTTGTGGTCCCCTAAACTGGATAATGCAAAATCGGATGGCACATGCTCCTCTTTGGGGCTTGATTCCGATTGTAATTAGTGGTACCTCCATGTGCTCTTCAAAGCAACCTGTGTTCCCAAGTACACTCCTTGCCTGCGAGCCTCCACCCTTAAATATCCTTTATTAACTGCTATAAACTTTCCATTGTTTCCTCTGCGCATGATCTCACTGTTTTAAAGATTTTGAATGAAACTTCGGCTCGTGCCAATCATGGTTTTTAAGAAGGGCAACCCTATACTGTGTCCATCCCCTGAGTTTGCCAGGTTCTGCCAAAAAAACCTTTTCCAACAATCCCCGTCGTCCCGGTCGTCTCGTCAAGGCTCGACTGACCAGCCCCTCTGCCACGTCCGAAATTTCGGTTTCTCGGACAACCAGGTGGTCGGAAACAACGTGTCGTCCCAGTCGACGATGATCACCTCAGAGAGTGGGGAACCCGTTGCCATTCTGGATGAGCAAATAGTCAATTTCGTCGGAAAATCCAGTTCAGGCAAGTGAACAAGAAACACCGCCCCTCCCATCTTACAGTCAGAGGGTTAAAACGTCTCCAGAAATTAGTCTGATTCATGGGGTAGTGACCGGGTAGCGTGTGTATCTTTGATATTTTCAAGACATCCTTTTGAAATCTCAATCTGTCGAACAGGCGGTTGCTTGTGAAATCAACAAGGCGGCACTCTAAAGACGCAGCCCGTCCATTTGGCGAGGTGCACATGGGCTCCAAATGGCCCCCCCGGTGGCCCCGTGGTTCAAAAGCACACATCTGAACCGAGGAGTTGTTTCACCAAGGTATCGCTTTCTCCAACCTAGAAGCGATAGCCTCCAACCTAATAGCAAACGACTATATTATACCTTTGTTCCTTTCCTTGTTTCTTTGTTCTGCTTCCAATAGCGATGGCCTCCAACCTACTAGCGTGGCCTCCAACCTACTAGTTTCTCAACCGAGGACGTGTTTCACACAGGTATCGCTTTCTCCAAGTGAATCTGCGGATTTGACTCCAAGTGTCACTATATTTGTGGCCGCCCTCCGGATTGGATCCCTCGACTTCCGCGGAAACTCATGGACCCTCAACAAGCCTCTCTGGCCAGCTCCAAGAAAACGTCTGTGAAAGACACACCCAAAATACAACAATAAACACACATGATACGGAAGGACAACTTCAAGCAAACTAATGGAACGCGGACACCTACGGAACAAACCAACAAAAAGTAGCAAAACAAGCAATGATTTCCACGTAATACGTTGATCAACCACCACTCGTGGCTGGCTCCGGTGGGACGTTCATCGTCGAGTCACGCCTTGCCCAGGGTCCTGCCACTGGGCCGACGAGGTCTGTAGACTCACCTGTTTCGCCACGCTGACGGGCATGGAAAGCTCCAGTGGATGTTTCGCCACCTGAAAAACAACACAAAAAACTCTATATATATATACAGTATGTGTATTTGAACCCAAACTGTCCGGAATAACTCCATCCTACCCACAACTATCATATAAAGCTGATTCCTGTATACATGGCCCAAAATTTGATTGAAGAAACCCCAAAAAACATAGATTCCTAGATCATACCATATTTGCATATCATATATATATAGATATTTTATATTTCTCTATAATATTGACCGATGTTGACAAATGCCCTGGCCACGGATCTGTGAGGGCCTTAATGGCCTCTGGGTGTTTGATTCAGACTCCGCAAAGTTGGGGCATGACAAAGACCACTGGGTGTTGAGAAGCGGTGTTTCATCACTTCTTGGTCGTTGGATTGTCATGTAGGGGTGGTGGACATAAGTGACGTCCCTCACCCAGCTGGTGAGATCGACGCATGCCTAGGCACTTCGTCGTTGGAACGATTGCTCACATTGCGGCACATCAAGAGCTCAGCGCCGTCCAATTGCCTTGGGCCAGTCGCTGAAACAAGTGAGACGTGGGAAAGTTCATGAGACCTTTGAAAGGACCTCGAATGGACGTGCACCAGACCCTCGCCGAGCATCAAAACAGTTATCACCAGCCATGTCAACCTCCCATGCTGTTGAGATTCAGGTTTTGGCACTGGGCCTATCGTCACCAGTTGTTGTGAACAACTTGTTCAAGGTAACCTGTTTTCTTTGGGTGGTGAACCTGTTGGTTTTGAGCGGGCAACACAATTCCCCAAAAGGTTTCTAGGGTATAACTAGTTGGAAGGACCCTCAGTTGCCGGATCAAAAAGATTGACTTGTGAGAGGACTCAGGGCACAAGTAGAGAAGTCCAAAAACCTTCGTTTGCTTTGAGGAAAGTCATGTCACCAAACAACCAAAGGACTTTTCCTTTCTCTCACAAACTTGAGCCAAAATCACTTCAAATCCGGTTGCAGGTTGGTCTGCTTCTGCAACTCCATCCGGCCTCCATCTGTCCCAAGCGATGTGTTTTGCTCTTCCTCAAGTCCCCAGGGTGCTCCGGG